TTGGGAATTAGCTCCGAAAGTAATAGGTCTTGATAGCGGTGATGATCAGCGGAACAACCAGGCATCGTGGTAAGCCAATCAAGACGAAAAATTCATTTCTCGCGTTGGAAAGCAGTCGGAAACCGCGGTTTTGGTGCAGATAAATCTATTGTAAGTCTCTGAATCTCCCTCTCTTTTCTCTCTTTTCTCTTTCTTTTCCCTCTCTCTCTTAACTTGAAAAAACACATTTTGATCCCCCGTCCACAGCAATAAGCCATAAGCCGACTTTTAACAAATAACTTGTGACCTTGTACAAGGCCAAACAAGGTCGCAAGCCTCACCAAAAGTCGCGCAAGCTCACAAGGTCACAAACCTATGTCTCGACCACCACAAGGTCGACGGTTCGACTCCTTTGAGTCGCATAATTTGGTGTTCTATATTATTTCCTCGGATGCAGCAGTCCTGAAAAATCCCACAAGGCATCCCCACATACCTACAAGAGTTTATTTGATCTTGCTTTGCATTTTCTGAGGGGTATTTTTTCGCATTTTGAGCTTGCAAACTTGGTCACAAGCTGACAAGGCCAAACAAGTCACAAGTTATTTGTTAGAAAGCTGATGGACGTCCGGCGGGTCGAATGTTGTTTCTCCAAGTTCTGGCGAGGTGCGGGCAGCGCCGCATCGAGGGCACGGGGAAGCATGTTCATTCATCGTTTCCTGAGAAAAAGAGGGTCAGAAGGTGGGAATGAGAGGAGAAATCGACTCGCCTTGTGGTGCAGGAAAGAAAGGAGAAGTGACCGTGACATACCTACGTGACCGACGCGTTTTGCTCTCAACATCCACCAGCAAATGTTGGCCAGCATCTGCCCTTTGCCAGTGCCACTCATAATTATGGTTCGCCTAATATCCTCATCCACACTGGCCAGAATATGACCACACCGATTGAATCTCGTATCCGTGGACTTCCAGATCGCACCATAATTTGAACGACGGAGGACGTCTGCTACTTTTTCGTGGTGCGCGTATCGAGGTAAAGGAAGGAGTACACGAGATGCTTCTCCTGTTCCTTTTCTGCATTGAGCATCTGACATGTCAAGCTACTCAATCGGTCGATAATCTAGAGCCTCCTTTGTAACCGATCTGGTAGCTGGTTTGCCTCCGCCGACCCCCCCCGCCAACGATTGCACATCTTCCCGGCTCTCCCTGCCTCAATAAAGCGCAGCGACTCGATTTCGACGTCCCAAGGTCAAGCCATCACATCATATTCAGCGGGCGAGGGATGCGCAGCAACCCGCCGGGAACTCACAAATGAAGACGTGCTGGAACATGTAAGAATGTATGTATAGTTTTACCAATAGAAAAAAAAGGCGGAACTCATGAAATATAGGTGGGTTCCGCGAGACTGCGCACGCTCCAAACACTCGCCCACGAGGACACCGCCTGTGGGCTATCCGTTGGGCGTTGAGTATCTGTACGGCAACGCAGAGGAGGACTTTCAATGAAGGCCCGAGCCTGAGCGTACGAGATGTAGGCTGGGTTTTATGACCGTCTTGCTGAGAGTGTGGAGAGAAGTACTATATTTCCAACCAGGTATTATTAGTAAACGAACGTGGTAGACTACCGTATAGCCTATGAAAGCCTTCGACGTAAGAGGCGGGTTTCGTATGGGACGCATTTAAGGGCAGTAGCTAGGACACGTTCCGTCAATGACTGCAATGGATGGACTTCGAGGCCAAAAGCAAACTCACACAATGGTGTATCCAGAGCTTCCGCAAACCCTTGTGGCTTGGTCAACTGGCCCGGTTCCACCACAAGTTCCGGATGTGTCGCCCGGGCGGTATGCCTGAAGAGTCTGGTCAGATAATTGTCCATCAGCATGACGGATGGCTTACCTGGTCACAAGGGCAGTCCTCACTCGTACATGTAACGACTGAGCAGCCGCTGTTTGGGAGAATTTGTTGCGCCTGAATACGACGCTTTGAGCCATAGCGTCGAAGGGGGATCTAAGAAGATACGAACGACGGAGAAGCCTTGAATGTTGCTGATGTCATAGTCACTGCCAAGATGCGTCAAAAAAAAAAGCACTAGAATCGTGAGTATCACTTACTCTTGACCGCCGAGGTTGGCAGAGTCGAAAGTCCACTGGAATGAGGTGAGCTCGCGAGTGTCAAAATTCTCTACAGCGGAACATGCCTCGGTCATAGAGCAAGCCGCCTCCCCGAACGCAACTATAAGGGAAGAGCACAGATTTCAATGGGGGAAGTCGCACAGTCATGGAGGAACGCACTTCCGCCGAAACAGTCGTTTTCGCAACCTTTCGGGTCACAAGTAAGTACGGCGAACAAGGTTAAATTAAGTTGAATGGTACCAGAGTTGGGCGGACGATCACAGATGCGACCTGGGAAAGTTAACAGAAGCCAAAATTTTATGGAGACACTTGCCATTCCATCTAACAAGCTCGGTGAGCAGAGAACATACGGCGCAACTGAATGTCCCTTACCCTGTGGGGACAGTCAAGTCCCAGCTGGTGCCAGCCGCGATATCGGGAATGGCAGGGCCTGTCTCCTGGTGAGAAACAAGACAGCAGAAAATTGGACTTCATAACTCACCTGTATAGTCGACGCCGTTGTGCGGATAGTTGCTCAGAGTCATTCCAACCCCCCACGCACAGTTGTTCTACGAACACGGGGTAAATCCACTTGGAATGGAGTAGGTGGAAATAAAACTCACGCGGAGCGTGATGGTATGGTCCGCATTGGCAGTAGCAGCAAGAACAGCAACCAAGACTAGTGAGGCAAACATGTCAATGAGGGAAAAAGGAGAAAAGATGCAATGAGACAAATGCTTTCTGGTTGAGCCTCTTAAATTCTGAGCGTCGATCATTTCCTTCCACAAGGAGAGTTTGATATATCAGCTTCAAACGCTACCGGTTGGTTCGCTTCAAATTGTACGGCACAAGGTAACGGTTCGGATATCGACAACGGCGAACAGCAGCGACGAGACGCGACGCGCCGACGGGGCAGCAGTAAGAAAAATAGGGCTGTGTCCTCCTCGAGCGGGAATCTTCCACATTACGGACGCTGTAATGAATTTTCCACAGGGGCGCGTCCTGGGGCTCGTCCTGGGGCGTCTAAATCCTGGTCTTCCTAGTTATTAATACATACCTGCATGCTCACTTGGTGGCTTGGTCCGTTGGCAAATGTTGCACGGTGTACTCCACCTCGTGGCTAATGATGGACGGAATGTGTCAGTATACTGTCAGTATCTACGGCCCAATTTGCAGCAGATCGTCCAGGATAATATGCACCTTTACGAACTTCGAGCATTGTCTCCGCGGGCGAGTTTCTTGTTTCATCCGTAGATTCGCGTTTACGCTTATTCGTGTCGACGAGGGGTGCACACACTATGCACACCCACGCCTACCCACGCGCGCCGCAGGCTAGAGGGACGCGTGGATATCAGCGATGCGGGTCATGTGAGTGCGCGGTACGCAGACGGACGGAAGTACTAGTAGGTCAAGAGACGAGCCATTTGATCCAGCAGTGCTGCATGACTTTGATGAGGACCTGGAAGCCAGCTATGTCCGTCTGCGTCTTTGGACGTCCGACGAATCGATGTAGTTTAGGCCAAGTTTCGGATCAAATCTTCGCGCTGAGTCAGCGTTGTCTGCACAGCCTCTGGATCGGTCCAAATCGGATCACGTCGTTTTCGATCGACAATCGCGATTCGCTTCAAGCAAGCTTCAAGCTTGCGATGGATGGGACAAGATTTTTTTCCCTCTCGTTTTCACTGGTCATAAAGGGGATCGCCGGATACTGATCCATCCGAACCTCGTTACGGATGACAAGAGTGCAGAGACTACCATGCGACGTGAAAGTCAGAGCTGAGTAGGATAGCTCGGATTCTGCATCTTCTCATGGCCGCCTGGCGAAATGGCATCGCGTCTGACTACGATAAGGTACAGTGTCCTTGTCATCAGGAGATTGCAGGTTCGACCCCTGCGGTGGTCATTTTTGCTTCACCGTTACCGTGTTTTTGACTTCTGGGGACCCTGAAGTTCATCTTTACACTCCGGAGAGTTTCGCAACGCGATTGCGTCTTCCACTTTGGTAGCCATGCCGATGGCCCTTTCTCATTCTCCGCTTCTTTCTTGACTTCTTTTGTCGCATCGGGGAATATACATAACTCTCTCGCGGAAAAAAAAAAAAAAAAAAAAAAATGTGAAGAAATGGGTGACTTCCCGTAACAATTAAATATTGCCCAGGAATATTTTTTGCACTTGCCGACGTGATGCGACGTCAACTGCCAGGACCCCATCAATCGTATCACCCCAAAACGTCTGCGATTTATTCTCCCATCACTCGAGATATGTTGAATCTATTCGGGGGGTCCACCCCCCTCGAATAGACTTTCGTATCGTGGAATATCCCGTTTAGGCATGACATTACTGATCGTCACCTTCTGTCACTCCCGTCACGAACTCTCCGTCCTCACTTGCAAAGCGCACCGTTCGTATACAACAGATCCTTCAATGTTACAACTCTACCCTCATGACCCTACATTGATCCCTGCTCAAACCCCAGTCACATTCACTGTTTCCCCCCTCAAAATTGACGTCAAATCATTTTTTTAGAGTGATCCCTCTTGAGCCCTCTTTGTAGTACCACCGCTCCTCGTGGTTATGGTCTTTTAAATCAGAGATGACCCTGGTGCAAGCAAATGCTCGTATGGCTGATTTTTCCACTTTATCAAGAAGTAAATATATTATTTTAGTTGCGGGAACCCAGACAGCGTGAATATCTTTTCTCTTTGATCGTATCAGTGGCACCCTCAGAAATTGCGCTGGAATATTTTTATCTTACGGGAAGTCACCCAATGTGGGAGAAATGTGGGATATAAACGTTGCGTTTAAGATGAGGTAAGGCATAGCTTGGAAATTACATATCTTTGCATAGAAACAGACTCCTTCGATTGTCTCTGCATTGAAACAGCCGAGGCTAAGCGGAAAGGGGGGGCAAAAAGTGACCACCGCAGGGGTCGAACCTGCAATCTCCTGATGACGATCAGAGAGATCTCCGGATATCGTAGTCAGACGCGATGCCATTTCGCCAGGCGGCCGTTGCAAATTTCTGACTCTGTGCTTGACCTCATTGTATACGCAAACTGCTGAATCTTACTTCAGAATGACAAATTTCAATAAATCGCATTTTTTTTCTTTTTGATGGCCTGGGGCACCTAGTACATCGGCGAGCCTTGATGTACCAAAGGTTCATCGAGACTGCATAGAATATGCTGTCAGGCCTCTGTAAGTTTTCGAGCAAGCAATATGCCGAGTCTACATACTTAAAGCTGCTCTTTTCTACCTTTAACTTCAAGTTTAAGTAGCAGTCAATGACATTATACATTATACATCTATAGTAGTCAACAATTTTAGGTGTCATTGCTACCAACCTTTGAAATTATTTTTTATGGATCATTTCAGAACATAGTAATTTAGTACTTATGAAGGTCGAAAGTTGCAAAGAACTGATCTCCCGGAGGCCTTTTCGGTCATTCTTTGACATTAACCAGCTGGTAGAATATAGATATCCGTGGAGTCGTCATGGCCGCCTGGCGAAATGGCATCGCGTCTGACTACGATGTTGCAGTCGTAGACTGATGCAATCAGGAGATTGCAGGTTCGACCCCTGCGGTGGTCACTTTTTTATTTATTTCTGTCGTCTTTCCCTTCCCCTACACCGCAGGTTTTGTTCTCCTTAACCTTTGCCAGTTCCACGAGCTCTGAAGGATTTCGATCTCGGGCCGGAGATTTTTTCTTTTAAAAAAAAACCACTATCCGGTCCACAATGGCGGACCGCATGGTGTTGAAATTGGTTAGAAGATACTATCTAGATCTAAGGGAACCCCTTTAAATCAGTTACCACCCACCAGGTGACCCGCTAGACCACGAAGCAGGAGTCAGACAAGACAAGTTGCCGGCGGGCGTAGCATATATCCCTCACGCGCATGCAGTATAGATACCAAGGATATCGGATATCCGAAACCAACCTCGGACTCGGATCTACTCGGGTTTGGTGGGGCATGGCAACGGATAGTAAGAATGGATATGGATGTGGAGAAATAATTATAAGCTAGCTAGGAAGGTCCGGCCGCCTGTTTTGCAACTGCTCCAGTGTTACTAGGCTACTGTCCATAATGATATTGCAATGCATGTCAAGAAGAAATGTCAGTTCGCCGACGCGGACGCAGAGGCGGGTTCATCATTCAGAGCCCGGCCGCCGGGAAAGAAACACGGGTTGAAACTTGACGTTGCCAGTGGCGCGCGTATATGTAGCTAAAACTGCAAGTAGACGTCGGACGTCGGGGCGGGTTCCGAGGTCCGAGTTGAGCGCGACGCGATTTGTAGGTTCCCGACATACAGTGCTGACCGCTTGTACCCTTGTACCCTTTTAGCTATGTACCTAGGCTAGGCCTGGTCGACGTCGAGGGCAGTCCGCCGGTCCGGAGGGATTTAAATGAAAATTAAAATGAAGGCGGCCTGGGCCGCCGCTGTCGATGGTTACTGGTATGTACACGTACAGTATTTCAATTTTTTTTTGACTTGAACCCCGGAGACATTAGGGCCATGTACATACAGTTGTGTCGGAGGCTCGGGAGTCGGAGCAGGATTGAAGGAAAGGAGAGGGTGGTGAAACTGCGTTCCAGTTGCGTTTAGATTATCATTATATTTTAAGACATGTGTAGTTGTGTCGGATTTTTTTATGCGAGACCCTGAGGAAGGAGGAGGACGCGAAGGACTCGGATCGTGCAGCTGTGTAGTGAGAATCCCGATTCCGAGTCGTACATGCGCGCCCCCGATATGGGTGATAAATGCCAGGTGATAGACAGAGTGTGTGCGTGAAGTGAAGTGATAGGGAGGGCGCGACGATGACACGCGCGATTTTGTTACGCCACACCGAGTAGGTCAGTATAGATAGTTCACAGGTTTATTTCCGTGGGATCAGGTTAGTGAAAAAGTCGAAGCCAGCGGGGGGGAGAAATGTTCAAAGTCGGGTGTTGGACGTTGCGTTACCAGCTGAAAACATATCATTGAATTGGATGTAATTCGAAGAGCGAAGCCAGTTTGGAGTGACAGTCGGATGTGATAAGGAAAGTAGGCGGGCGCGGTGCTGGTCATATTACAGGAATACCCCACTTGAATTCGCTGTTATTATTTACTCGACTTGACGACCAAGCTTAGTTTAGTTTTGGTTTGGCTGGAAATTATCCTTGCGATCGATCAGATGAGCTACATAGCGGTCGGAAAAGATCAAATTCGAAAAGGCCGGGAAGATTAGATTAGTGTTTCGCCTGCCATGAGTTAGGTTCCCGACGTAGAGGGACCGGTGTCCTACGCTACACTACCTTGGTCGACACGGAGGCTAATGTCGGAGGCCCGAGCTCTCAGCTGAGTTCAAGCACATGTGGACGCCAGCCAGCCAGCCAGTCTAACTCTAAGCACACTCGGGAATTTGAAGAAAGAAGGAGAGGGTGCGGTCGCACCGTACATACTCCGACTGGAACCCAGGAGACATGCTAGCGCTAGTCGGGATCGAAGTTCGGGGGTGAAACCGCATTCTGGGTGTTTTGTGTCAGGTTTCTTTTCTGATTTATGGAGGAGGGGTAGTTGACCGCTGAGCTGTCAATGAGTGAGGACCGGCGCCCCCGATATGGGTACGCGATATGGGAGGGGGTGATAGACAGAGTGTGTGTGCGGGAAGTGAAGTGAAGTGATAGGCACGCGCGATTTTGTTACGCCACACCGAGTATAGATAGTTCGATGGCGATGGTTGGACGGGTTATTTGGGAGTTGGCGTGGGATCGGGTGAAGCCGGCCGGGTAGGTCTTCAGAGGAAAGGGATGTTCAAAGTCGGATGTTGGACGTTGCGTTGCCAGAGTAAGTAAGTAGGCTGAAGATATATCAAGTTAAATCGAATGTACTTTGAAGAGCAGACTGAAGCCAGTCAGCCTGGAGTGAGAGTCGGACGTGATAAGGAAGGAAGGAAGGAAGGCGGGTGCGGTGCTCGGAACACATTGGCAGTACGCCACTTGAATTCGGTGTTATTATTCCTGGACTTGATTTGACCACGAAGTTTGGCTGAAGGGTATGTATTCTTGCGATCGATCAGATGAACGCATTGAATTCGAAGGCGCCAGTGTTGCGAGGTTGGATTTCACCGGGCGCACGTTGTCGGTGTCGTTGTCGTTCCAGTGCACAGGAGATCCAAAATAAAAAAAATGCGAGTCGAGACATCAGATCAGGTGTATTTTGAGGAGACAGGGAAGCGCGGGGTGGTGGGCGCCCACGCTCGGGTGCTGAGCTGAGCGGAGAATAGGAATACGTGTAGTCCGGTGTTGAAGGCTAAGTTCAAGGCGAGAGACGCTGGGAACCCTCGGTGAGGCCGAAATCGACTCCTTGTGCGTTTACTTAATACTTGGTAGTTGAAAAGGAGAAAGACGCACCGAGCGAGTACGGTTCCGGGTTACGTTGGAGAACAAGTTCGAGAGGGCGGACTTGAGTTCGATACCCCGGGGCGTCAAGGGTAGTTGAGGGAGAATGCATGGTGCGACGAAGAACGCCCCTGGGTGGTTCTTGGGATGCCGTATGTACTGGTACAGTTCTTGCAGATCCAAGGGAAGGGTGTTTCGGTCGTCCTCCCTCTTGGTATGGCGTCGACGGCGCGGGTCGATTTCTTGCTTTGGTCGCCGCGAGCTCGAGGCTCAGACTCAGCGTCGTCCGACTCGTCGGCGAATTATGATCATGGGTGCAGGGGTTGTGAGCGACAAGCTCGAGCGCAAGCAGCGCGAGTTTGGTTTCGGTTTGAAATTGGTGCAGTGGGCGAGTGAGTTGATTGTGTGGGATTTGGCTATGGCCATGGCCGGGGCGGGTCGGTTGGGGATTTGCGTTGGATTTGGATTTGGTTGGGGCGCCGACGGATGGCATAAATGACTCTGCGACGCGGCACGCAGCACGCCGCGCGTGACCGGTTGAGTGTCCGGATGAGTCCCGACCCGCCCGATTGCGAGCTCCGGAGAGGACGGCGTCGGAGTCGAGGCGCATCGGGCAGTCGGGGAGTGCGGGATCCGGGTATGGGGCTGTGGATAAGGAGGGGAACGAGACGTGGCCCGGGCCTCTCCAGACTTGAGGTACTTGTTTGAAGCGAAACCTACTAGCAGCAGTGCCGGTGAGATGATGGTTCCGGAGATACGAAGAGGTCGAGGATCGGTGACTAGGAGAGGGTTAAATGCAACTCGAATCAAATCAAATCAGGATTCAGGGACTTGCTCGCGTGGCAGCGATGAAAGAAAGATGTAAGGGAATCTAATCTTTGTCAAGGGCAGATGTCGATCGATATCATCCGTCCATCTCATCAGTGTATTACTATTATCAGTGACGGTGAAGTTGCCCGAGCGGTGCGGTGGTGCCGCGGCGACGGCGCCCATGTTTCGTCTCAAACACAGAGAACTTGAAGCTTGTATGCGATGAGATGCGATTCGGATTAGCTTGCCTCCGTTGATGCGTAGATGTAGATGAGATAGGGGTTGAGTGGATAGATAATTTATTATTGACGTTTAGAATGAAAGGTTGATGGCCGTGGGCGAGTGGATAAGAAGGGCTCGGTGGACCGGACTGGGCTTGGCTGCTGCGGAGGCTGGAAGATGAGATAGCGACGGATGTGATGTGATAATAATAATCTAATCCGCAATGGCAGGGCTGTGATTGGGTGATGTTATCTTAGATATCCCCAGCCTTTTTTCCATTCCGCTGTCTTGGTCTCATCGCATCCCCCATCCCGTCCATCCAGGTGCCAGGCATCCAAGAACAAGGAGGAAGAACAGAAAGAACAAGGAGCAGCAAGAAAGAAAGAAGAAACTGGGAGCAAGCAGGATGTCGTCGATGATGGACGCCCACCCCGCCCGCAGCCACCGCCTGCCCACCCCCGAGTACTACAACAGCCCCCAGAATCCCAACAGCACCCCGAACGGGGGACCCCGGAAGAGCAGCCCCGGGGGCGAGTTCACGACGTTTGCGGCGAACGGGCTGGGCGGCGGGCGCGTGCCGTGCGTCAACTGCGGGACCCTCGACACCCCGCTGTGGCGCCGCACCCCCGAGGGCAATCCGATCTGCAATGCCTGTGGTGAGTGCCTGTCTGTCTGTTTTGTTCCTTCGGTTCTTCATTCCTCGCTGCGGCCTTCGTTCGCGTTCACTGCGTGCGTTCCCAATCCCCGGGCGTCGTCTGTGTCGATACCCAGCGGAGGGCGCATTGCATCCACGTCCACATCCGCATTCCATCTGCCTGCTCTCCTTCGCTTTCGCTCGCGTTTTCGCACCCTGCCTACCCTTCATAGCTCTGCCTTTCGCTTTCGTGTTCGTCTCATCTCATCTCATGCCATGGCGTGGCACGCATGCCGTCGCTGCGTCCTTGTCTGCGGCTGCGTCTGCTGCGTCTATGACGCACTCGTCTCATCCATCTCCCATCTCCCATCTTCCCTCTCCTTCTCTATTCTATTCCATATCATCGACGGATCGATATATCCGTATATCCATCGATGCGCATCCTATGCACTCCCGGGCATGGGTGGGTGGGACATCGATGAGATTCATGCAACACAACGCATGAGAGAACGCGATGCCGATGTCGATGTCGATTGCGATCGA